TTTTATGTGACTGACGCAATTTGCATATTTAATTAAATTAAAAAGGAAAATAAAACAACAACAACAACAACAATAACAACAACAAGAACAACGACAAGAAAATGAAGAAAACAATTTATCGTGTCGCATTTTATATCTATGTGTCTATGCGTACGTGTTTGTCTATTCGTTGGTAGAAAACGGTAGTCGTAAATATTAGCATGGTATTCGTTCAACGAATGACAAGGGACCGTGAATTATACTTCGGACACGAGGTCGCACTCGTTCTAACGTAACTGCATCTAAATTCTAAAAGCAATTTAGATGCCGCACTCTTAACGTGACATTTCCTTCAATCTTATTTGAAACATTCAAAATCACGAATAATGGTTTCCCTAAGTAACTTAAAATCTACTTTTTCTTTCACGTCTCACAATTTTTGATCATTTTTACAATTTTTCGTTTCTTTTTTCTTTTTTCTCTTTTTACATAAAAATATGTTATATATGTATTTTCATTAACAAAAAAAAAAGAAAACAACTTTATTTTTAAACATTGTTCATTGTTGTTACCCAAGCATTGTTTCAACAACAATTAATATTGTATTATTTTTTATTTCAAGAATTTTTGTTCTTAATTATCTCATGTAAAATAAAATAATAATATTTATAATTCCTTGAAAAAGAAAATTTATATTCACATTCGAAGCAAACTAAAACGCCTTGAGTTCCATTAATTCGATCAATCGATATTCTCTACCTTTCGGGCATTGATTTTCACCCAAGGAGAGTAAATTAGAAGGCGTTGACTGGTCAGAAAGTCCAACTCGATATATAATTTAGTATAGGTTAACAATATTATTTCTATCGTTCCGTTTAAATACACTTATAACAATATTTGATACATTAATTTATTTCTACTTTTATTATGAAAAATATTTGTAACCATATATAATACACATTATTCAAATAACGAAACTATTAATTTAACCAAATTTTCTATAAATCATAATTAAACTCGACAAACACAGTTTTGTTGTAAAATTATCGAAGATTCTTAGATTTGTGCATGTATGCAAGATGACGTAAAAAAAATTGCTAGTGCGAATCGAAACGCCACATCACATGTTCCAGCATGATTAAGAGAGCGTAAAGAAGGTGCGATATACTTAAAGCATTTCATACTAACCGAAGAAAAAGGAAGACATTAAACTTTAGCTCGGCCAACTGTAGCGAAAACACCGTGAAGAAGAATGCTGTGAAATTAGCTTATTTAGTATAGTTGAATCGACGGATAATGACAGTATTACGCGAGCTCTTAATAATTAACCAGGCATCAGACCGAGACGAAGATGAATCCTTCCCCTTTCTCGAATTAGTATCTCTTCCTGAGTATTACTTCGAGCTAAACGAGCTACGCGAGTACTTTCGAAAAGTCGAAAGTGAGCAAATTTAATGCCCAATGTTGAAATTACACGAGAAAACATTTCGTACTACGTATACAATAATATGTTTATATTCATTTAATGTATATCAATGTGAGAACATTTAATGCTGTTAAAGAAAATTGTTTAATTAAATATTTGTGTTATTACATGTTCATTAATATGCCTATATATACGGAATGTTGACCGACCAAATTGCAGATGCATATTTTGTCAGTGGAAATAAGAACAAAAAAATGATAAGTTCGCTTAGAAACATTTGATTACCATTGTTATAAACAAATGCAATTGAAATAAGTATGTACAGATTTAACGGATCGATGAGCAAGTTGTTTAGCATATGTGCCAAGTGTATTACACCAAAACTTGTGTTAAAATTTCTTTATCATGTGAAATATGGATTATTAGTGCTCCATACTTGATTATTAGGAAAATTAAATACGCCTTGTCTTGTAAAAGTTGCTTCATCTATTTACAATATCCTTGATAAGAAAAATTTTGTACTACGTGTAAAATAATGTTTATATGCATTTAGTGTATATCATCAATGCTGTTAAAAAGAAAATTGTTTAATTAAATATTTGTGTTATTACATGTTCATTTTAATATGCCTATATATACGGAATGTTTATCGACCAAATTGCAGATGCATATTTTGTCAGTGGATATAAGAACAAAAAAATGATAAGTTCGCTTAGAAACATTTGATTACAATTGTTATAAACAAATGCAGTTGAAATAAGTAAGAACAGGTATAATGGATCGATGAGCAAGTTGTTTAGCATATGTACCAAGTGTATTACATCAAAATTTGTGTTACAAGTTTCTTTATTAGGTGAAATATGGATTATTGGTGCTCCATAGTTGATTATTAGGAGAATTAAATACGCCTTATCTTGTAAAAGTTGTTTCATCTGTTCACAACTATCCTTGATAAGAAAAAATCATTAATTAGTTGGAAGTTATTCTTGAAAAGCTGAGTAACGATAAAGTAAATCTTTCATTAGCTCGTTATGTTCTCCAAATTGTATTTCGTGGTATCTATTATTAAGATGAAGTACGTTAAATGTTTAGTATAGGAGAATTTTCAACAAAGTTTAAGATTTGTCGCTGTCCTAGACCTGAATGAACATTCTGCTATTTACTCCTAGATCAAAATGAGCCCAAATTTTGTAATGAAAAATGGATATTAAAAATGTAAAGTAACGTGATACTTTTTTTAATTATTTCAATTTCATTTGTTTCTAATTTTGTAATAAAACGTTTCTAATAGTCGAACTTCAAATAACATTTTTTTTCTTATTTCCATTTGCAGAATATGTTGCCGTAGTTTTGTTAGGACAACTTGTATTTATATGTGTTATTACAAATTTAATGATAATAATAATGTTAAGTATAATTAAGTAGTACAAATTTGTCCACATTGTATATGTGTATTGATATACTAATTAATACGGAGATAACGCATGCTCTTATAAATGTAATATTATATTGTTAATGAATTGAAGCCTCTAATTAAGTAACGCATACATGTACACGTATCATTAAATATGTAATAAAATTAGTGAAACTATGTCTAATTAACTAGTATACATACATACACATGTTGTTGTATACTTTAACACTAATTATAAAGTTAAGGGATAATATTTAGTCACATGATATAGAAAAAATACAATAGTATTTTTTATGAATTTCAACTTTTTCCTTAAACAATGAATTGCATTTTAATTTATTTCTTATATTCTATAATATATATATATATATATATACAACATTTGAAATTTAATTTTACTTCATCTTAGAATTTTGTATTCAGCAACAAATATGTCCCAGTATTATTTACACTTGCATATGAACCATTTGTATAATTTAGATGAATAATTGTAAGACTAACCTTAAGTAACATAAATATGGAATACTTTTTTTCATATTTCATATAATAACAAAGAGATAAATTTTAGATAATTTGTATTGTTAGGTGAGAGTAAAAAC